TGCTGCGTTTTGGGGCCACATGGCCCAGCTGATGCTCATGATGCTGGCGATTTGGATTTGGGGCGAGACGCTCCAAATTAGGTCCAGCTGATGCTCATGATGCTAGCGCTTTGGGGCAAGATGCTCTAACTAGCTCCAGCTGATGCTTATGATGCGGGCGCTTTGGGGTGAGATGCCCCAAACTAGCTCCAGCTGGCGCTCATGATGCCGTCGTTTTGGGTCCGCATGGCCAAGCTGATGCTAATGATGCTGGCGTTTTGGGGCGAGATGCCCCAAACTAGGTCAAGCTGAAGCTCATGATGCTGGCGTTTGGGGCCACATGGCCCGGCTGATGCTCATGATGCTGGCGCTTTGGGGCGATGTGCTCCAAATCAGGTCCAGCTGATGCTCATGATGCTGGCGTTTTGGGACCACATGGCCCAGCTAATGCACATGATGCGGGCGATTTGTAGCGAGATGCTCCAAACTAGGTCCATCTGATGCTCATGATGCTGGCGTTGTGCGGCCACACGCTCCAAATTAGTTCCAGCTGCCGCTCATGATGTTGGCGTTTTGTGGCCACATGGCCCAACTGATGCTCATGATGCTGGCAGTTTGGGGCGAGATGCTCCAAATTAGGTCCAACCGATGCTCATGATGCTGGCGTTTTGGGGCCACATGGCCCAGCTGATGTTAATGATGCTGGCGTTTTGGGGCGAGATGCTCCACACCAGGTCCAGCTGATGCTCCTGATGCTGGCGTTGTGGGGCCACGTGCTCCAAATAAATCCGAGCTGATGCTCATGATGCCGGCGCTTTGGGGCGAGATGCTCCAAATTAGGTCCACCTGATGCTCATGATGCTGGCTGGCACTTTGGGGCGAGATGCTCCAAATTAGGTCCACCTGATGCTCATGATGCTGGCACTTTGGGGCGAGATGCTCCAAATTAGGTCCAGCTGATGCTCATGATGCTGGCGTTTTGGGGCGAGATGCTCCAAACTAGCTTCAGCTGATGCTCATGATGCCGGCTCTTTGGGACGAGATGCTCCAAGTGAGGTCCACCTGGTGCTTATGATGGTGGCGTTTTGGGGCCACATGCTCCAAATCAGTCCTAGCTGATGCTAATAATGCTGGCGTTTTGTGGCCACATGATCCAAATTAGGCCCAGCTGATGCTCATGATGCTGGCGCTTTGGTGCCACATGCTCCAACGTAGTCCCAGCTGATGCTCATGATGCTGGCGCTATGGGGCCTCCAAATTGGGCCGAGCTGATGCTCGTGAGGCTGGCATTTTGGGGCCACATGCTCCAAGTTCGGCCCAGCTGATGCTCATGATGCGGGCGCTTGAGGGCCGCATGCTCGAAACATGCTTCAGATTAGTCTCAGCTGATGCCCATGATACTGGCGTTTGGCGGCAAAACGTTCCAAATTACTCATGATGCTGGCGTTTGAGGGCCACATGCTTCAACTGCTGCTCATTATGCTGGCGCTTTGGAACCACATGCTCCAAATTAGTCCCAGTTCCATCTGATGCTCATGACCCGGGCGTTTTGGGGCCACCTGCTCCAAATTTGGCCCAGCTGATGCTCATGATGCTGGTGCTCTGGGCCACACGCTTCAAATTGGGCCAAGCTGATGCTCATGATGCTGACGCTTTGGAGCCACATGTTCCAAATCAGGCCCAGCTGATGCTCCTGATGCTGCTTGCCCTTTGGGCCTAGCATGTCGTGCACCCCCACGGTGGCCTCAGAAACCAGCTGCTCCGTTTAACATCTTTAAGCTTATTTTCTTAATCACCTGGATATATTGACCCAAGTAATGTATTTTTTCGTTTCTGCACTTGGTCTTTGTTAGGGGTGTATCAATAAGGGAAGTGATTAGCTAGCGCCTTTTTAAAACCTTCATCTAATCCAGTACATAATCCCGGTTCCGCTTCATGGGACAACAAATCCCATTTGATTCTCCATGATCGGGATAATACCCCCCAACTCTCAAAACCCGAAATAGTAGCTTGCATTTTCTATTCCCCAACATATACCTACATAATCCCTACACTATCCCCTGAATATTCCTTAGATAAACCCTATACATGCCCAGTCCGCTACCTATATGAGCTATAGTCTAAACCTCTAGGATCCCCCGTAATAGCCCCAATAATACGGCCCTAGATAATCCCTTGTATAAACCCCCTTTAAGGAGTTTAGACTATGGCTCATATCCGATAGGTGCTTTGTTCCTTTTCTTCGCAACCTTCACCTCCACCTTGGCTTTGGGCAAGCACATCAATGATGCTACCCGGAGCTTTAGGGTTTAGGCTACCCGGAGCTGTCCGCCAACCCTGAGGGTCCAAGTAGCCAATAATTGGCTTGGGCTCAGGGTAATAGTAATTCTAGTACAGGTTTTGGGTAAGTATACGATTCTTAGGGTAGCTGGACCCTCAGGATAACGGAAAGGCCAAAGTAATTACCAGTATTATGGTCCATGTAGAATGGGTATTCGTGTACATCAGCCAGACGTCAAGATGATTTTGGTACTTTTGTGTGTTCTTATGTTACCCTCGCCCAACTGGCCATGGAAGGTAAAAAGGAAGGCTATAGGGGTCCTTCGTTACTTTGGGAAGGTTTGACAGTGTCGCAACTCGAAATCTAACTTTCGGACTCTCTGTCTTCAAGACTGTATTATATCCCGTAGTGACCGGGCGTTTCAGAATGGACTGGCCGCTCACATCCCCTCACTGGCAGTGATCAAGGATTTTGCGCCGATAGTATCCAAGGAAGAACGGCTTTATCCTATCTTCCACAAACCAATGTAACCTGAGGCGTCCTAGCCAGTGCCCCATCACAACGGGAACAGGACGACATGACATCTTGATGTAACACTTGACTGCTGTTGCCGGTAATAGTGTGCAATATAGAAACTAATGTACATGAAGAAAAGTGTAGCCTTCAGAGCGCAGTAGATACTGAGCACCAAGTTCTCTCTGGACCAGGTTACACACGGGGTGGGGGCCTCAGTGCTGCACATCGCGGATGAAGTATGAAGAGAGCTCGGGTCGTCCTACCACCATGCACCTAGAGCGTCCATGTACCCGGAAGGATCATAGGGATGTGTAGGGACATATGTATATGTATATATAAATGTGTATATATATATACATACACATATTATGGGTGTGTATACGGGTATATTATAAGAGTATATGGGGTTTAGATCCATGGAGCAAACAGCTGAGTACCTGGAATTTCGGCACCCATTGATTTGATTGTCGTACCGTTCTTGGGAACGTTATGCGGGGGGATGTCAAAATTATGGTCCCTTTTTGGGTACCCTAAATATTAGGTGCCATATTATAATAGGGATCGAAAAAGGGACCATAATTTTGACAACCACCCATATGGAAGTAATTGGTGTTCTTTCCCGCCATGGTGTCCTTCAGGTGATTGGCATCAACGAGTACCTCATTATGAATAGTGCCTTGGCTTTGTTCTGGCAACTCTTTGGCTATTCTAGGTACCCCAGTACTTTTACCCTTTTTGGTTTGGGGTCTCCTTATTAAAGCCGAACAGTAGGAACAAGGGTACCCTTATCATTTAGCGCTTACTGGGGAACCTAGTATTACTTCCTCTGGATGAGGGGCAGCATTGGGTCAAGGGTGAGGGGTGAAGGGCTTGGCTTTCAGGCTAAGGGATACAAAACTGTCAGCCGGCAGCGCTTGTAGATTGTATTTTCCTTTTGTTTGGACACTATTTTACTAGGAGATAGTAGTCTTACTTATGTCTATAGTCCCCCATAAGTAGATAGAATATAGGGTTTAGGGTTTAGGGGTTATAGTCCCCCTTGAGCAGAAATATGTTTCATTCCATGTAGTCCTGGCAACCCTGGGCTCCAAACCCGGAACTGAGGATGTAGGGTTTCGAGTTTAGACCTTCCGAAGAATGGCCTGAAGCCAAAATTCATGGGTGCATAAGGTTATTCCTGTGGGTACTCGGAAGGTCTAGGTAAGCCAAAGCCCTAGTCAGACCTTCATTGCGGCGCGCTGTGTACTACTGTGTACCTCAAAGACTTTTAATTAGACCTTGAATCTAGCGCCCTCCATCAACACTCAAACATAGTCACGACTCCCTCAGTGAGACACCATTAGAACAAGGCCCCGTAACATTTAGGGTGTAGGGTACCCAAACTGTAGCTTTGACGGCCTTCCATTTCTTACTTACGAAGGTACGAGTTTTCTAATCTTGTTATTGACCTTGTTATTGCCATTATGAATATGGTCATTAAAGCGAGTACGGTACTATTAGTACTACTGCTATTGTTACAACAGTTGCTACGGTAATTATCTACTATCGCTGCTGTAAAGCGGTAGCCAGCCAAGGCATTTCGGGAATGCTTCACTCCGCATCTCGGTACCAGTTCTCCTGCATAAGCAGGGAGGAATCAATATTGTATTAGGGTTGTCGCCACGGACGGAGGAACCTACCACCCTGAGTCGTGGGAGAATGTTTAACTTGGGATTCGCTTCACGTAGCTGCCAGGAAGCCTTTCAAAGGAACTCTTGGTTATGCATTGTAGCTAGGGCCCTTGTAGTTCCCATGCATTCCCACGGTGCACACGGCACCCCGGCCATGAGAAGCCCCAAATGTGTGTGGAAAGGTGCTAGAATGGTGGCTCCCCATGAAAAATCCTCTTTGAAGATTCCAGAAAAGCGCCACACACTCCCAGCTTCGATTTGTTGATGTCATTTTCCATCTGACCCTGCATTGTTGAAGTTATGGATCGAAGCGACTCTGTGAGCAGAGAATGGAATTGCTCCAGCGCCACCCAAGAGCAAACCCTTAACCACGCACCATACATAAACCGTAAACACACGACCCCAACCTATTAAAAGACTCAAGCTCTAACCGCTAAACACTGGATTCTAAAACTTCTGCCGAACTGAGGTGATTGGATGTCAGCCCCTGCTTGTCCTGCGCCCAACGGGACCAATCACGCTACTCATCGCCACTTGATCTTATGTGGAAGTTCTTTTTGGTTTAGGAAGCATACGTTCCGCCGCCACAACCATGATTGTATTCCTCCTTCCCAGCTGCACAAAGTCAACTGACGTTCTTACTGTTCTTATACCGGCCTTCCTTACAAATTAAGGGGTGCGTAAGTATTCCGCTCTTCTCGTTTCAAACAGGAGAAGCTCCATGAAGTCAGCGAGTCGTTTGCCCTTCCGTTCTGGCCCCTTTTTGCCTGGACGGGGATCTTCGTAGGTCCGGGACTCAGCTCTCAATGTACCTGTTCCAGGTGCCAAGTGAGTACATCAACCATGGCTGCACAGATCTGAATCAGGGGCTGTTCAGGACCTTTTCTGGAGTTTGGGTATAGTTCCCCTTAAGTAGATAGAATATGGCTGTGAGTATAGTATAAAAAGATCCCCATATGCCCCATATTCTATCTTCTTAAGGGGGACTATGTCGCTATAACCCCTACAGAAGAATAGACTCACACTCCCCAAGATTCCCGCCTGGCAATTTCTCTCAGGGTTTAGGGTTTAGGGGTTGGAGCTTAAGGTTTTAGGGTTTAGGGTTCTACTTCGAGCCCTAAACCCTAAACCCCAAACCCTAAACCCCAAACCCCAAACCCTAAACCCTAAACCCCAAACCTAAACCCTTAATGGGGGGGTTATAAGACTTTGAGACTTTGAAGCTCAGAAATGATTGCTTCCTCATCGCAGTGGCAATGTCGTCATTTCATGTGGGTGGTTGTCAAAATGATGGTACCCATTAGGGCAATATCAGTACATGCACGGTTTAGGGTTTAGGGTTATATTGGGGTTATATGGGGGATAATGGAAAAGAACATGGAAACTACTATAATGGGTTACACGGGTGGTTGTCGAAATTATGGTCCCTTTTTGGGTACCCTCAATATTAGGCTCCGTATTGCAATAGAGATCCAAAAACGAACCAGATTTTTGACAACCACCCATGTATCTCTCCATACAAGCCCCTTAGATCCTGTAGTCCCCCTTAAGGAGAGAGAATATGGCTTTGAGAATACTATAACAAGATCCCCACATGCCCCATATTCTATGTTCTGAAGGGGGACGAAAGGCATTTGTGCAACTTTTGTGCCGCTGCCTAAGAAATGACCTCGACTTGCTGCCTGAGGCTTGTACATGTTCCTGATCGCTGCCACGGAGCTTAGCCGTTTTATTAAGTAACTGGGATAGCATTTATCTTGTTCCTGTGGACTCTTCATGTCGCATGGCAAGTCCCCTTCAGAATCTGAAGCTTTCGTGTAAGCCTTCATCAGCCGAGAGCGCGAGAGAGAGAGAAAGAGATAGAGATACCGCTAGAGCTATTGCGTTTGATGGGGTTATTTTCTTGGGTTAGGTGTGTTGGCTTCAGTAGGCATTTGCCGAGGCGAGGTCGCCCGTTGTTATGCCATGCTTGTTTGCAGGGAAGGCCGGGATAGCAGTTCCTCGTCATGCAAGGATTTTGACGTCTGCTGGCACCTACGCTATTCAACCCGAGATTTGCCTTCCGGCCACTTGCGACAGCACCTGCTCCGCCAGGTATGTCACGGCCTTCACGGAGAACATTTTTGCGACTTTTATTGGTACGGCCGGAGCCTTAAACAAAGGGCTCCTACTCTTCCTTATAGGCTAAGATGGTAGACACGTGCTGAGCATGTCACATCTTTTCGAGTTCCATTGCATCGAGGAGTTGAACTGGCACCCTCAAGGCTGCGTTGGCACTTTCTTAATGTCCAAAAAAATCTCACGATATGTCAAAAAAATCTCACGATGGGTCCTCTCTGGGGCCCTCTGTGAGAGTGATTATAGTCACAGTATGTGAGGGTATATGAGCGTGGAAAGATCCATTTGTTCTTTGAAAGAGAATGCAAACTCGCCAGGCAGCTCTTTTCAATTTCTCTCAAGATACGCCGTGCTATGTTACCATCATGCGGGCATACAGTAAATCATTCGGTTTCCTGCTAGTGGTATCTTAGTTAAGTTCCTCGGCAGCCTAGTGAATGAGTTCCGCTTGGATACCCCGGTGCCAGATCATGCTCAACCGTAGATCCTCAAATTCTTACAAGGCGAATAAGGCAAATCCCCCGCAGCACCCATCAACTTCAGGTCTACATCAACGATGGCATTCAGGGCATGATCCGCGTCTGGAATAGTGGCACGTCGGATGTCGCAGCTAGGAAGCTGCGACTGGGATGGCTTCAGTCATTTGTAGGGGAGAAACTGACAGATCATGCAGACTTCTGCAGTGTAGGGGTTGTGTCGTTTCTTGCTGGTAAGGTTTGTGTGCTAGTTCAGCTCAAAAGGCGAGCAGGAGATGCACAGGGATCAAGCGCCGGATTTGTACAGGGATGCAAAAAGTTGTTTGTGACCGGGTGTTGCTTTGAAATCTTGGGAGGGCTTCTCTCTGTCACAAGGATCTTCGTGTCAGGGAGTACAATAACAGGCAGGTCAGAAACAGCTTCTACTGGAGACAGATAGGGCTATAAGCAGAGTAAGTCATATAGGTTGTGGTTATGCGGTTCTTAAGGATACACAGATACATAGATATGTAATCTGAACACTAATTAAACCCTGGTCCAACTCAACCGTAAATTCATCTAGCTTATACCCTTCAACCCTAGCTAATCCCTAATCTCTAAACCCTAAGCCCCTGAAAACATGTGAAGAGATGCGGAGAGCCCTAAACCCTAAACCCTACACCCTAACCCTAAGCCCTGTGGTCCGAGGTTGGTTTTTAACATGACCCTGGGCTGCACCGCGCTGGCCTACTACCTTAGCGGCTAGGCTGTTTGGTGGCTTTGGGGTTACAGGTTAAGGGCTACCACCGTAGTAGCTAGGTTTGTTGGTATTGTAGGCTCCTAGTTCCAGAGGACTTCTTCTCAATTTTTTCTATCTAGGATAACCCGAAGGAATTCGCAAACGAAAGGTTTTCTAAATAGATAGGTCAAGAGGGAACACAGTGGAGTCTGGAATTCCTAAAACATGACTAACAGTATGTTGAGGTTTGCGTGAGGTACCCTATACGTGATGTTGGGAATTAACTAAACCGCCACATGATAATTGTCCAGTCCTTTTGGTTGGTTGCCAGGCGCTTTTGATGCAGTAGAGGTTCCAACAACAACGCAGCCACAGACGTCATGTTCGAAATAGTGGCCTTGCTTTTGTAGTGACACGGAGCCAAGTCTTTTTGGGTACAAAGAAGGGTTCTTGTTTTGGAAACTGCTCTTGTGCTTTACAGCTGCCCATCCATCCACTTGAATTGTGTGCGGCCCATCCAAGCATGCGCTGCAAAATAGAAACCTTCAACCTGGGCTACTGCCCCCGTCCTATAACAATCACAACAGCCCCAAAAAATGTTGTGATTGTAGTAATACTGTACCCTGAAGAAGGGTCCTCTACATGACTGTTGTAGGGTGGGCAGTAGCCGATCTAAACTGCTCACCCAAGCCAAACACTCAAAACTCCAGACCCTAGAACCTACGCATCCTACACCATGAAGCCTGCACCCTAAACCCTGCACCCTAAGCCCTGAAACCTAACACATCCGAGGCAACATCCCCAGCACCTCCTGGGGTCACCGGGCCGAAGTTCGTTTGGGGTTTTGGCTAGTTTAGGGCCCATATTGAAGGTTTCTTAGTTAGTTGAAGGCTTGTATTTAAGGATTTGGGATTTAGATTCTTGAGTGCTTGAGCTTAGGGCTGTGAGGTTGAGTACCTAGGGTTCGGGGCTAAGGTTTCTTAGGGTTTAGGTATTAAGGGCTTAGGGTTTTGGAGGTTGCGAGGGTCTGGGGGTTTAGGGTTCAGGGCCGTGTTCTTGCTGCAATGGAGCATGGCAATTGCCAACTTTAAGGGGTGTCCCCAAGCTGTCTTCTTGATAGAATGGCGCATAACCATTTCCAACCCAAGACAAAGAAGTGCTGCTGACGAATGACGCAGGCACCTTCACCATCCGCAAGGTCCTCTCAGATTACGTGGCAGCCTCAGTCAAAGAAACGGAGGCACTCGAGAACATAAGCGGTACATAGGGGTTCTACAATATATATATATACATATATACATATTTATTTATTTATGTATATGATGGACTGTATGATTTTGTATAGGTTATGTAGGGGGTTATAGTAAGGGGAACCTGAACCGGTCCCATGAAGAAAGCGGGGTAATCAGGGGTGTATATGTAGTGCGTAGGATCTAGGGTTGAGTCTGAGTTTTTAGGATACTATGGACCATCAAATGGACAAGATCATGGAGCATGAACTGGGAGCTGGGCTTAGATTGGCATTTGTATCCAGTAGAAGGAGGGTCCTGGCTAACCCACCTTTCAAAATAAGGACCCTATGGCTTTCACGTGAATTTACGGAGTCCTTGTTGTGGGGGTTGGGGTTTACCGAAGCCCTCTCATTCTTGGAGAAGTCTAGCAGCTAGAAATGGCGTTTTGAGCGGCGTGTGTATAGTATATCCGTAATGTCTATGAATAGTTAAACCCACATGTACCGACCCATGCCTGCCAAGTACTGAGCTTACAAATGCTCCTGAGAAGCTTTAGCTAAAAGGTTCTAGGGTTTAGGGTTTAGGGTAGGAGTTTTTGTTTTTCTTGTAAGCTGCTGAGGCGCTCACCATCTCAGTTTTCGTGCTGGCGATCGTGGGAGCAGTGCTCAACGCAAACTTCTTTGCTGTTGCTTACATGTCCACTGGGTAAGCGTTTACTTTTTTTTTGGGGGGGGGGAGGTAAGACAAACCCGTACACACAAGCTTAACTTCTGCAAAGATATGGGACACCTGCACGATACTTTCAACCCTTAAGGGGGACGATCTGTATTCCTCAACAGTCTCATATCCAAGGGGGCCATCAACCTCCTCAAAGGATACTAGGCAGCCCTGAACCCTAAATCCTACAAACCCTGAACCCCTGCTTTGAACACCCAAGGTTGACTTCATTGACACATCAAGCACAGGCCGGCGGCCTCCGTGCCCAATGTGGTTTGCCGGGTGCAGGATTTGCAGATTATGAAGGAAGGAGACTTGTAATCTAGGGGCTAAGTAACCACCATTCATTACCAATGTTATGGTCCCAGCCAGCCTAGGTTACTTAGATTTGTTCTCTAGGGTACCTGAATGGACCCTTAACCTGATATTGGGAATTACTTGCTTAGGCCCCTATAGGACATTATGAAGGGAGTTAGGGTTGAGGGTTCACAGGTTTGGAAACATGAAGGTGAAACTGAGATTGTATTGAGGCTTGCAGCGCGGTTTTAGGGTTTCAGCGTTGCAGGGTTTCAGGGTGTCAGCTTTCAGGTTAGGGGTGTGGGCTGAGGCCTTCCCAGCAGCTACTCGGCAGATGGACCATAGAAAGTTGAATTTGGAGCTGTCCTTAAAAGTCCGACATACCCGCATGCAGAATTCAAAGCAATGCAAGCACTAAAGTATCCTAACATGCGTGTTGAGATGATGCTGGCTGCCAGCTAGTCAACAGGCTTCACCACGACGGATGGCCGTCAGTGGACTACGGATACTTGGCTGCCGTTTTCAGTGCTGGTGCTCGAGGGTATTGACAGAGTGAAAAACAATTCTATAGTACATGGCGAGCGTCCTATCCCCAACTGCACTTTCCTGGCCTTTGTTTGCTTTGCTTGCTGATTTTGCCATTGTGCAAGTAGCAATGGAAGGCTCAAGCTCGCCACCAATATAGTAATGAACAACAGTCGTCCTAATCCATACGAGCCCTAAACTCCCAGCCCCTCATCCGTAAGGGCTAAACTCTAACATCGGCCCCCAACCTATGAACCCCAAACTTAAACTAAACCTAACCCCCAGACTATCCCTTGAGCCCTACAGCTAACCCTTAAACTAACCCTTGAAGCCCACATCTGCATGAGCTACTGTCAATATCAGCCTTATTCAGGGACCCCTTACAGTGGACATTGAGATCCCTCTTGTAATTTGGCATAGTCCCTAATATAGTCCCTAATATGGAACCCATGTCCATTAATTTCTGGGGAAATATTGTGTGTAGCTAACACCCTAAACCCTAAACCGCTAA